GTCAAAGAACACTGCTAGAGATTCATCCTATACCCTGGAGTTGAGCGTTATACTAGGCAAGAGAGGGATATACAACACCTCTATCAAGTCCGAGAGGTTCTTTTTCGAGACTTGGGAGTATGAGGCTCGCCGTCGCGCCTCTGAAGCTGCTTTTTTCGAGACTTGGGAGTATGAGGCTCGCCGTCGCGCCTCTGAAGCTGCTAATAAGCAAAAAAATGACGCTAAATGCCTTGGTTTTAAAGCAAGCATCAAGATAGGCCAGCAAAAGCCTCGACTCTATACCATCGAAGATGCTATAGATATACTTAACGTTGATAAAATAGTAGCAGAGCTACAAACAGCTCATAACCATATATCTCAAGCTTCTTTTCGCGTTGCTCTACTCGCAAATTTTGAGGCCAAAGATCGGCCTGATGAAGATAGCGTTTCTACGTATAGCGAGGAGGACTTGCCGCCTGTGAGCTCTCATAAATGAGCTTATAGCGAAGCCAAAACTGCTTCAAAATCAAAGAAACCACGAGAGAGCGCTTTAACGTGTTAATGAGCAGCTAAGGAGGCTCTTTACGCAGCTATACCAAACCCAGCTATTAATATTGGTCGTCAGCACAAGTGCGATTGACCTAACTATCCGAACTATGGCTATCATTGTTATAATCTCTCTCAAATAGGCCATTTGAAGCTTGATATGGCTGATATTCGCGAGTAGAAAGACTCTATAAAGGATAACCCTGCTATTAATATCTATTATCCTCCTCTAGGGGTGCTAACCTGATTGATTAAGGGTTATAAGAAACAGAAGGAGAAGAATTAATAGCCTCCTGCTACTCCACAGCCTCTAATATCTACTACAGCTTCGTCAACAGTAGCTGGCCAGGGGATGACGCTTAATATCAACCTCTCAGGGGGCCCTCCGCCTCCTACTCCTCTCCACGAAAGCGCAGATAATAGGGCTCAGGATAGGGATATAGGGACCCTAGTACTGTGTGCTATAGCACCAGCACTACCCTTGCTAAGCAGCCCTATCTCACAGGCCAGAGATGAGGATGCCTGACTATTCACTTTCATTTAGTCTCGAATCCACGCCCGACCCGCGCGTTATAGCGTATTTGTATATACAAGAGAGCTACTGATAAGTGCTGGCGTGGGTTTCTTAGATTTAGCTAGCTTAAGTAATAAAGAGTGAAAGGATATTGGTATTAACGTTGGTATCAAGATGGATTTACTGAAAAACGATAAGATATGGCATTTACAGCATCCTGAGGCCGCTGATAAGGTTCCAGAGCATCTCATAAATGAGCTTGATCTTGATATGCTCTATAAGAGCAGGGGCAATGAGCTCTGAGCTTAAAGATAGAAGGTAATTAGTGTTAAAGAGTATATATAGATGTTAAGTAGTATATTTAGATTATATATACTATTATTTATTTTATATATAAGTATATGCAAAATTAATTATTAGAGTGTATTTAAGTTACTAGCATATATATAAACTTATAAAAATTAATTTTAAAATCTTACTTAAATAAGAAATAAGCGCTAAGACCTACGCTTAGCAAGATATTATAACTTAATACTATAGATTCTATCAGGATAGTAGTTTGCTTTTTAACAATTATAACTTAACCATAATAGCTACTACTGATTCTATAGTATTAATTAATAGCTCTTTATTAATACTATCTCCCTGTAGCTTTATAGCGCCTTAAGCATATTATAGAGTACGTCAACAGTAGTTTTGTTAACGCAAAAATAACAATAATGAAAATAACTCTTTGCATGCTTCTTAACGCTACAGAGCTGCACAGCAAGGTAAAAAAAGCCCTTATACTAATTAGTAAATTGCCTTGCAAGCTCTCTATTTAATCTCATCTATGCTTTTAACAGAGAAAACGAGAATTCAATAGGATTAAAGTCCGGAGAGTAAGGAGATAAATATATTACTCGAACGCCTGCCTCTCAGCACATATCCCTTAGCTCCTATATACTATTATTAGTATTAGTAATAAATAAGGCGTTAAAAGCTTACTTAACTATAATAAGCGCTGTGGTTATCTATAATCAATACTGATCGTGGCCCCGGATACAGATTCATCTTTGTTAGCAATCTTCAAATAAATATGTTGAATCTCTTGCGGTTAAAGCTGCTGTGGTATATCTTATAATCAAGATAGCTATTAATCCCTATAGCTAGCAAGATGCTCCATCTCCTTGAGCGCCCGTTTGGTACTATTACTCTACAGGGTACGCCGCGTGAAGACCAACCTCTTTTACAGTCTTTTGTGCGCTTGTGCGCAGCCGATTCGTCGACGAATATAGCCTCCTCAGCACGAATTTCGCATATTTGAGCTCTATAATAGTCTCGTAAGTCCTCATCTCGCTCAGCAGCTTAACGTTCAACCTACAAAGGTGAGTCCGAATTTGAGCAAGTTGATATACAAATACTAACAGCTTTACAAAGTGAGTCCGATTCGAGCAAGTTGATATATAAATACTAACAGCTTTCTGCGTGATCTTCTCCTTTGCCAACGCTCGAGAGACGGTGGATTTCGATACGTCTATATCATACTCTTCATCTAGAAATGCCACCATTTCGTCTAGATAAGAGAGCTTCTTCTCTGAGCCATTTTCTAGCAGCCAATCGAGGAGGCCCTCAAGCGCCTCCGGAGTGATTTTTCGAGGTGGACCGAGGTGTGCCACAGGCGCAGGGCGTGCCTCTCCAAACGTATTGATATTCTCCTGGATTCGGTATACCGTTGAGCAGTGGCATCGAAATCTACGAGCTATTTCTTGTGGTTTTACGTCGATAGCAAGCAACAGGGCCATTTCGTCGGCGGTCGACTTCGAAAGGCGTAATTTGCTCATTGCGAACTCAACACCAAGGGCCAGCAGTTGATATAGGGCAAGATACAGGCGTCAGCAACGTTTATGAGCAATTTCAAGCAATTCCTACGCGTTCTACGGCCCTAGGGAGCTATTCCTTCTGTGATGCCTCTATCTGAATCTCGCATTAGCAAATCGAAGTCTCGTATTCGGTGTCAGGCTTTGTCTGAGAAGATAGCCCTTTAGGGTTGTTGTGTTGATATGCCGTGTTCAGTATGCGATCGTAACAAGAAACCATGTTTTTTTTCATCACATTCCTTGAAGTGTTCGCACTATACAGCGAAGGGTGTTCTGTATAACAGGAACTATTCAGAGGATGCGTTTCAGAAGCTTGAGTCTGAGAAGCAAAAGCTATAACAGGCTCTTTAGGCTCTTTATACACGTTAATGCCAGGACGCTTAAGAGGCTGAGAGTCTTGATCATTATATAGAAGCGCTTAAGAAGGCTTAAAGTGTAATGATCGCTCATGAGGCTTGTTCTTTAGAGCAGGAAGAGCTTGCTCAAGAGTCGTAATCTAATGTTGTCAGAGTTAACATCCTTAACAAGTAGGAGTTAGCTACTTTAATATCTTTTTTATCTAGTCCGGGTTTTAGTAATAGTAATTTGTAAGTGTTTTAGGGCTAAGGTTTATTTCTAGTTCTTATATATTTTCTAAGTCTATATATCTTAACTATTTAATTAAATAATAAGGTTTATTATTAATATCTTATTTATCTAAGACTTTTTCTACTTTATATTCTTAGTCTTAAGTTTTATTATCTAATTAGATTTCTGTAAGTCTTATATTTTTTAATACTAGTTCTAATAATAAGATATAAAATACTAGATATATCCTTATTTTTATAAGTAATTACAGTTTATATATTACTTTTCTTAAGACTCTCT